CATTAACTCAGTGTTAAGCAAATCAGGGTATGTACGGATCATTTATATTACTCTAAGCGTAAGCAATAATTAAACTAAAAAGCTAAGCCTAAGCAAATTTATTTTTATTATATTATTAAATTTATGCCGATCAGTAGCTGCCCTTTCATAGATCATGAATATGAATATCCATACGCTCGTACACACACACACACACACACACACACAGTGAGTGAGTAGAGCAGTGAGCAGAGCTAGAAGAGAGAGCCTCAGAGAATCTCAAGCCCAGGTCTGGCTGATTTATCTGTCAGCTATGTGACACTGAACCTAGATAAATCACCTTGACTACCAGAGGGGGAAAGGTACAACTCTCTACGTAACTCATTTGGAAAAATTACTCGTCATGAGAATCATGTAGCACAGTATGATAAAAAACAAAAAACCACATTAAATTGCTATGAGCGTTCCTTAGTCACTGTTATAGAGCACCAACAAGCGTGAACCCCGAAAAGCTACTATCAGGAACCTGCTACACACCAGAGTATCAGCAGAAAAATAAAAAGTCCAGGCCACACATACAAAGAAGGCTACAGAGTCAACTTTTCAGATACTGTTGAATATTGAGTAGTACTGAGGATCTCCAATGCTACAAATATTAAACGGAAGAATTCAATTTAACATTCAAGAGTTGGAAGCAGGTGGCACTCTAGGAGTTCAGGGCTAGCCTGGTCTATATAGTGAGTTCCAGCACAGCCAGGGCTACATAACAAGAATCTGATATTTAAAAATATTCCATCTATTTACCTAATGTGCCCATTCATAACAGACTTATTTCTAGTACAGTGATATTGACAGTGGATTGGCTATGGGTTGTCAAAATGGTGATTTAACTTTGTTATTGTTTTCTGTAACAAAAAATTTAATAAAGCAGTATATTTGGTGTGTGTTTTTAAGCACCGTTTCTAAAAGTTAAGAAACTGTCACTTCTTTTAAAAAATGTTTCTTGTATATATCATTTCCCTTGTAATGTTGCCTCACAGTCTGTAAATCCCCAAATAAGCTACCAATAGCACCTTTTTATAAGACATTTACCAGAAAATCATTTTCCCTTCAACTAATCAAGTAACTACTTTCACACGAGATGCAGGAACTTTAGTCTCTGCTTCCTGATCCTTACTCTTCCTATGTTTTCATATTAATTACAAATTCCATAAGACATGAAATGCTAGTTTAAACCTTATATGTATAAAACATAGGAAAAATTGTCAAATGTTTTTGATGTTCATTATTACAATAGTTTTACTATTTTTATTAGTATTTATAGTTTTACTGAGTGACAAGTCCTCGTAAATCTCTTCACATAAGAGATTGTTTCATTCAAAATGAAGTTAACATGTTTGTCCATGGAAATTAGTCAACTGAATGCCCAAATAAAAAATTTAATCAAAATACATTTAACAATGTATTAATTATTCTGCATGCATCACCTTAATCATTTTAAATATCCTAGGTTACTAGGGCCATATTCTATGGCTTTAAGGAGGCCTTGGAGCAGTGAAGGCATAAGTAATCTATCATCTCAAACGGATTTTTTGTTTAATTACAGCTTCATACTTATCTACAGCTCAACATCTAACATTTGACAGCAGTCAGAAGAACTCACAAACATTGAATTAAAATTTAAAGGCAGATAAAACAGTAATAATAGCTTGTGGTCTGTAATTAAAATCCGTATTAGGTAATATCCATGTTAATTTACCCATTATTTAAAGGCTACATCCTTTTCTCTTGTGTTCTACGGTATACAATAAAAAATTATCATCTGTCTAAAGAGATAGTGTACCTTGAACTTTGGATCTGAGAAGAGAGAGAGCCATGCAGAGCGAAAAGGGAAATCTCATCAGCTCAGCTGTCGCTACAGCATCTCTTTCCCCTAAGCCTGAAAAAGTCCATTTATTTTCATATGAGATGCATCTGAGAGGAGCTGTACACAGAATCCACTTTTTCCAACATGGTCTTGATTAAACTTTGAATGTAAGTACTTAAAGCAAGTAATTATAAGCACCCAGTAAAACCATGAAAGGCAGGTAAAACAAGATAACGAAGGAAAAAGAATTAATATATCATATTCAGGCCAGAAAAATAATTTTACCACATTTTTGGTCTTTATTTTAGAACCTGTTTATAGCTCAGCAGTTTAAAAAAAAAAAGTAGTAAAAGCACTACCATGCTGGTAGGTACTGGAATTTGCTGGAATGTCCAAACACAGTGGAAAACACTGCTGCATTACCTCCTCCCCTCAGTCGGTCCAGATCATCAATATCCTCTTATTCTATTATCGACATGAGTCAAAACCAGTTCCTCACCTCATCTTAGAAGGCTATGTAAGGTCTCAAGCTTCATCTAAAAACAAAACACCGTAGTTTCCCCACACAGTTGCTGAAATGCCTCTCAAGATCTAGAAACTAGAGGATACAGAGAAATGAAGACAAGTCCCCCTTCCCTCTAAATGGGTGCAGCAAAGACAACTGCAGTAAGCAGGCATACTCTTCATTTTCACCGTTTGATGGGAGTGGGGGGCACGACAAAATTTTAAATCAAAGGTGGCGCTCTGTCCTCATCTCACCCGAATGTGACTCACTTTTGCAGACTATATGGTAGAAAATAACAGTTACTTTTCAAAGATCTTTGCAGTTACACCCAAGCCAAAATCAGGGCAGAGATCCACCCTTAATGACAGCAATTTAACTGTCTTATCCAAAGCAAGGTAAAAACTAAAACAGCTCCCTGAAAACATGGCTTAAAAGGCCCTTTTCATACACTAAAAAAAAAAAAAACCTCCCAATAAGAAAAAAAAAATTTCTATTTACTTCAAATTTTGAACTCACCAGGATGGGAAAAAAGAGGGGTAGGGATGGTGGTGCCAAATGAAGCACCCAAGTACAAAAGGCAGATTCTCCTCCTCCAATCCTTTAATTCCCCCAATCCATCCCTGCCACACACAAGGACAGGGAGTCTCCCTAGGGAAGGTTGGTGGCAGAGCAAGTCAGGGCTCTCCATTCACTCTCATGGGCCACCATCCAAAGGGATGCCCTAAGAGCGCTTTACACAAACCAGGCCCTTACAAGTACTTATTATTATAAAATACACCTACGCTTAGCAAGAACCTTATTTTAAAGTAACGACTGTCCTCAGGTGGGGGAGGTGAAACACAACAAAGCCTTCCATGTTGAAAGGCAGACAGTCCAGGACGTGCATATACCTACACACGTATGAAAAAAATCCATATAACTAATTTATCAGGAACAGCAATCGATACCAACAGGAGCCATTAGATTATTAATAAACCCAGAAAAGTAGCATGCATAGCAGCCAAAGGTGGCTGTCTGCAGCGCTCCAGCCCACAGGAAGGGAGAAAAAAAAAATCAGCCCACCGAGGAGGATCGCGTCCTTGGCGATCCTGCAGACCCCTCTACCCACGCAGGGCAGTCCCAGTTCTCCTTTGGGTCCTCCTTCGGGGGTCCTCTCACCTCAATAGCAAAAGCACTCCCTCCCAATGCTAGAGTCCCGCAGTAAACTGGTGAACGAAATGCGCACAGAGACCAACCCAGGCAGAGACCGAAGCGCAGACCCAGGGGTCGCTAACTAGCTAAGCCACTAAATTCTCTTGCAAGATGGAACAGAGAGGAACCCCCCGCCCTCTCCGCTTCCCCCCCCCCCCCGGCAATTGGAATGTCACCCTCCTTCTTACTGACCCTTTCCGGGGACCCGAGGACAGCGCAGATATTTTTTTCTTTTAAACTAAGTACATAAACATGAATCGGAAGCAAGCTTGAACATCCTGGGGGGGCCAGACGCAAGACCTGAACAGAGAGTTGGGGCGGCTCTCCAACTCCCCGAGAGTCACCGTCCTGTCTGACACGCGTCTATCACAGCACCCCCTCCGGGAGGCCGACGCACGAACCCTCACCTTGAGCCGGCAGCACCTCTCGGGGGCCCAAGGCAGGGATTAAATGGGTGACCCTCCCGGGGCGCGGGGAGAGGGAGTGCCGGGCTAGGCTGCCCTCAAGGTCACCACCCACACGCCGGGGTGGGGGCGACCGGTGTTCGGATGGGCTGTGGCGGCAGCAGAGGCAGCCCCGCCAAGTAGGAGAGGCGCGGGTGTAGCCGAGGAGCCACCGACCGGGACGGCGACTCCGAGCTGGAGCCAGCGCTGGGGCGCGCGGGGAGGAAGCCTTCTCACCTTTACGGTCCCCCTAGCAAGAGAGCGAACCCCGGCGGCTCCGCCAACTTCGCGGGGACCCTTCGCACTCCACCCCGAGCCCAGCTGTCAGGACCCCCGCCGCGCCCTGCGCGCTCCGCCCGGCCTCCCCCGCAGGTGGCCGCCCCCGCCGCGGGCGGCCACCGGCCGCCACTCACCTCGCCCGCAGCGGGAACCATTTTTCCGAGGGAAGAATCAAGGAAGGCTAGGCGGGAGGGGTTGGGGGGAACCGGGGATGGCGGCGTGGGGGTCTCGGGACGTGCCCGCAAGCTGGCTCGCTGGGCGCGGGGCGCCACGCGGAGGTGCGGCTGCACCTCGGGGGACAAGGCGGCCGCCGCGGAGCCCAGAGCCTCGGCGGCGTCCACCAGCCCGGGCTCCCTACTCACGCTGCACCGCGAGGAGGCGGCGGCGGTGGCGGAGGAGGAGGAGGAGGCGCCCGGCCGGCCCCCGCCCAGAGCCCGGCGGTCGCCGAGTGGCCGCTCGCGTCCCCGCAGGACCCGCCTCCTCGGCTCCGCAAAGCCGCGCTCAGGGCGCGCCGCGCTCGGCAAGGCACCTCTGCCGGCCCCGCGCCGTCGTCCGCTGCAGCAGCGGGCGGGGTGCAGCCCGGGGCGGGGTCCGGGGTTGCGGGGGGAACACACCGGGAAGCGGACCGCCGAGCACGAGGGGGCTGCAATCAGCTCCGGGGCGAGGGGCCCGTGTGCACCGGGGAGGACCCGCGGGGGACCCGTCCGAGTAGGCAGAGGGGGTGGAGGGCGCTCACCCGTTCCGGTCCGACGCTCCCTTCTTCTCCACACCTCCACGCCTCCCGCTCCACGCAGGCGGCGCAGCTGCCTCCCGCTGCCTCTGCCACCGCCGCCGATGCTCGCGCGGCCGCCGATGCCGCCTTGGCTGGGCGCGGTCACGTGACGCGGCCCGCGGGGAGCCTGAGGGCGGGCGGACGGGCGCGCGCGCACGAGCAGAGGTTAGCGCGGCTCGGGCCGCCCGGGACTGGGCGCTTCACCGTGAGGGCGTTTAAGGGGAGGATCCGGCGAGCGCGTCCCCGGGCTGGCGGAGCGCGCGCCCGGAGACCAGAACTTGGCAGCGCGCGGGGCCGAAAGGGTGGCCGGAGTGCAGGGCGGGCGACTCGCGCCTCCGCGGCGCCCCTCCCTCGCTCCCTCTTCCTTTTCCCAGTGCGGGCCGGGGCTGGCGGCTGTCCCCGCCCTCTCCTGCGCTCCCCTTCCCTCCTGCGGCGGCCTCTGATTGGCCGGCGGCCTCTGACGTCTGTGTTTCCATGACGTGTCGGCCCGGGGGAGGGGCGCCGGGAGGGGGCGGCGGGGGAGGAGGGGGCGGTCACTCCGTCAGTCACCGGCGCTTCCTAGGCGCGCGGCCGGGCGGCACCCGCAACGTGTGGAGACCGGAGAGTGATGACTGTCGCTGCAGCGGGACGACCTTCCCCGCTCGAGCCGCCTGCACCCCCCCCACACACACACCGAGGTGGGAGGCGAAGCCTGGTCAGCGGACCGAAGAGCGGCCCCGCGCGGCTCGGCCCCCACTCCCTTAGCGGACCTGTCGCCCGTCCCGGACAGTGACGCACTCGCGCGACAGCCCCGAGTGCCTCACCCTTAGGGACCGGAGCCCACTGTCCCCGCGGGCGCGCTGGCCCGGCTGGCCGGCGGACACCGGGGATACCCGCTGCAGCGCTCAAACGCTGTCCGCGGGCCGGTGCAAACAGGCCTCGCACCGTCCGCGCTTCGAGTCCTCTCGTTTCGCTCTTAGGTTTGCTTTTTTAAAAAAATCTTGTTCTACCTGTGGCAAGCTCGTGGGTCTTTAGTTCCTAGGATTTCAACCCTTCCCTCTTCTTCCCCGAGGAGAAAGAAACGGAAAAAAAAAAAAAAACAACTCAGACCGAGTCATGTTCAGTATTGCGAAGGTAAAAGGTAGCCAACTCTGGCCCAATCTTTCCAACATGTTGCAGTGAAAAAGAAAACCTCTGGTTAGTGCATCTACTTTTAGAAAAGGGTTTTCTTGACTGTATCCACATATTTAAAGGTGTGTATTCTGCCCCATCCCTGTCTAATCGCCTTTAACTAAAGGTCCCCCATCGTTCAGACCTTATCAGTGTTATTTTCAGTATCACTTAGCCAGGGGGAAAAAAGTTCTGTAGTGTTTTTTGTTCAACCCCTGAAATGGAAGAGTTAATGGCTGCAGTCTTCTCAAAAGCACGGGGTAAAGACAAATACTGCATTATGGATGTTCATTCTCTGATAGCCTTGTTTCAAAATATGTAAAGACTTGAAAACAAAATGCTTGAGTTTAAAAGAATTTCCACGCTAAAACTGTTGAAAAAATGCATTTTTCCATTTATATCTTTCACCAGGCTAGACATTACCAGTGTGCCCTCGACATGTAAAACTGGCACTGGGCATTTTTTTCCTCTCTGTTTCATCACAGAGAATTGGTTGGTGTGGTACAATAAATAGCCCTTCCTGATACTATTTCAAATTTACAAATAGAAAAGCAAATTAATTAAATTTCACTTAGGTAATTTCCAGTAGTCTCTCGCCCCGAAATATCTTTCAGAAAAGCTCAGACACATTTATGAACCCTTGGCTGTTTCCCAACTTTCCTCCAAGGAAGTCCCCATAGAAAATTAAATTAGGCATTCTACTTTAATCAAGAACTTGACATTAAAGTAATAAATGAATCATTGTATGCTACACTAGCAAAACTGATAATAGGTTAAACTAGAATCTGTTCACTTTTTGGATTTGTTGAAGTTCTAAATCATAAAACGCATATTTTTAAAGTATATGTTCATGACAAATCACTGAGCATCCTTATTATTGAACATTATTGCAATGAAATTTTTATTTGAGTGTACAGATGTGCCCACAAGTGAAAACATATATGTCCCAGAACATAATTGTACATACTTCAGTAAACATGAATTGCGTACATCATAAATTGACTCTCATACAGTCAGTGTAATTGTAGTGTATATTTGATTTGTATGTTTCATTCCCTCAGATAAAAAAATTAAAGCTAAAAGTAATATGGAAGCAACTGCACAGTAAGAAATCCAATTTTTTTCCTCCCACGGAGCTTCATCCTGAAATCTCCCAGATGACATACTTTTCAATGTAAAAAAAAATGCTGAATTGCTTAATTAGGGTTTTTTGTTTTTCTTCTGGTTAAAGAGCTAGAACCAGGACCTCATGGACAAGCAAGTACTTTGGCCCTTCAGAATTATTTCTTAGAAGGCATTGGGCCACCTGAAATCAGCAATGCTCTTATGTATTATATGAGCATTTCATCTTCATCTTAGAACTAATTTATTTCGTGAATTTAATTGATCTGGAGGTGTATTAGTATATAATAGGAACAATGCAACACAATTCTCTACTTAATAACATTACAGTTTTCCAAATATGCTTTTTTACTAGCAAATATATAAGCTCCAGAAAAGTTACTGTTTTGGACGCCATATTGAAAATTAGGCAGTTTTAGTAGGTGCATTCCTTTCATTCCTTTAATGGTATAATTACATTAACATCTTTACTGGTAAATTGATTGTTTCAATCTTTATAACACATGCGGAAGCTCCTCGATGTAACCAAATGTGAAGAGAAACATTAGGATCTTTATTCTCTTACGGAATTCCAGCCTAGCACTCAGGAGGATGGAGAATTTGAGGCCAGCCTGTCCAACATTGTAAGGTCTAGGCCAGTATTGTAATACATAACAAGACCCTGTCCTTAAATAAAAGGCATCGTATGTGTTAAGTGATAGAGCAAAGTTAAGACACCAACAGTAGTATATTTTTAAAACAAGATACATTCCTTAAATGGACTTTTATATGTGAATATGCCAGTCCTGATCATAACAGAACTGGCAGGTGGAGAGAGGGAGTAGGGTGGGGGGATATCAAACACTTCATAAAATATAATTATGTATGTTCTCAAATTTCCATTAATTTGGAGATAGAGACAGTCTTTAGCTGAAAACCCACATGAAACTTATTTATTAGTAACAAATTAATTGTATTTTGCTGAGTTAAATGGAGTACAATTACAAGTAAGCCTAAAATAAGAATTCTCAAGTCACAGCATAGAACATTTTTATATATTAAAAAATGCAAAACAGTTCGAAGACATTTGCTGGGACTTATTTAGTGCCTACATACTTTGTACCTTTTGGGAGTAAGGTGTTTGTCCCACTCCAAATACTGTATAATTTAGGCATATGGTGGTGACCCCCAAATACACATTCCAGCAACTAGAGAGGTCATACCTAAATGCTAGGAAGGTTTCTCATGGAAGACTTAAATCTGTCTTATACCATAGGAGACACCCATAATTTAATAGAAAATAATATGTATGGTAAAAATGCTAGGGACGGTACCTGGGAAGGGACAAGTTTACCAAAACTGCTTTCCTTGCCCTTCGTTCTTCAAGAATATCCTGATGGTCATTGAGAGCCCCCCCCCTTAATTAGAATTCATTGCTTTCCTATTACTAACGCTGAATTGTGATAGATCACAATGCTGTTATAAAGTTTGGGTGAAATACCTACATAAAGTTTCAGCCCAGTTTTTGCTTCTTTTCTCTGGTTTTGTTTGTCCTTTTTTCCTTCTTTCCTTCCTCCCCCCTCCCTCCCTTCCTTCTTTCATTCCTTCCTTTAAGACGGGTTCTCATTCTTTAACCCAGGCTGGTCTGGAACTTATAGGTAGCCCAGACTTGCTTTGAATTTCTGCTTTTCTTCCTTCTGCCTTCTCAATCTCAGGTGTGTATCACTGTTTATTTATTTTTTTGTTTCATTTGTTTTTGCTTGTTTGTTTTCCCCTGGCAATGCTGAAGCATGCATGGGCAGCCCATAGATGGTGGTTCTGTTGAACTTGTCCATGTTGGGTTTCATGGTCTAAGTTGATGAGGACAACTGACCGAGTTTCTTCCTCTAGAGGGCACCAGATCTCATTAGAGATGGTTGTGAGCCACTAAGTGGTTGCTGAGAATTGAACTCTGGACCTTTGGAAGAGCAGGCAGTGCTTTTAACCGTTGAGCCATTGTGTACCACTGTATTCATCCAAAATAGAGTATCCAGTATATAAAAATGCTCAATAAGGGTCATTGCTCAGAAATACTCCTTTTTTCTTATTACAAGGTAAATGTATTACGAAAATGCACATTTAATTTGTTTAGTCAGATAGATTATAACCATAGAACAGAATGACTTGCTTGTGAAAAAGACTCTATTTGTGGTCCTCTTTAAATCACAGCACATTTAACTGCATCACTGCTTCATGCTTCATTTCACTGCTACGGTCTAAGCCTTCTCCAGAAAAAAAAAAAAGGCCCTTAAATCATGAGACATGCCTTTGGCTACATTTAACCAAAAAGTGGACCAATAGTGGCTTTTATAAATACAGGCTATGTTAACTTACATTTCTATAGAAAATACTAAGGAGAGAACACATAGGAAAAGCTATTTTACCCAGTGTTTCAGCCCGTAGTCAATCGTCTCCCTTGCTTTATTAGTGGATCTCAAGTATCCTGATGTTGTGACTCTTTAATACAGTTCCTCGTGTTATAGTGACCCCGCCCCCACCATAAAATTATTTGGTTGCTACTTCACAATTGTAATGTTGCTACTGTTATAAGTCATAATGTAAATGTCTGATACATAGGATGTATGATATGCAGCCCCAATGGGGTCATGACCCATAGGCTGGGAACCATTGTTATAAGCTGCCTTGACACCAAGCATCCTACTCGGAAGTCTGTGCTGGAGCCAAGCTGCTTGCTTCTTGGTGGCTGGAACAGAAGTAGAGTAGAGTGGAAGGAAGGGAAGGGAGAGTAGGGAGGGAGGCCAGGAACCAAGATAGAGCCTTCAGGGATATGCTGCTCACCCAGCGACCTACTCCAGGGAGGCCCTATAATCCAGTCAACTACAGATTCATTGATGAATTCATTCACTGGTGATTCTAGAGAACTCATAATTCAGGCATCCTTGAACTCTGTTTTAGGACCAAGCCTTCAGCATGTGTACCTTCGGAAGCATTGGCTATCCCCGCCACAACAGATGCCAGTCCCGCTTCGGAAGCTCAGAACATGTAGGTGGTGGTGTGGAGTCAGCTGCTGAGCATGGCCATCCAGGATGCAGGTTCACAGCTTTCTGTCCTACTGTTTTAGAAACTGTCACTAGAACAACCAGCA